TTGAAAAATGTAGAAATTATAAGCAAATGACCGAAAAATGAGGCGTTCGCCCCACTGTGCGGCGTAGCGTTCACATGTATTGTTACTTCGGAATAAATTTGATTAGCCGCAGAGGTGTATTGTCAGTCATTCCCTGCACGGACATCACAAATTGTATCAATCCAAGGCGTGTATGTAGGAAGTAACGTTCTATTGTTTTTAAGAAAATTAATTTAATTTTTATAAAATTAATTTTTCACCGATCATTTAATATATGTACCATCTAACGTGAGGTGTTGTGTGTTTCATCTCTTTTCCTTGAATATAAAAAGATATTTAATGAAACAGAACGTCAACAGTAGAGCTGAATGACTAAGGAAAGATATTAAAGAACACAAACCATGCGCCCGTGTGATGGTAGATACGATTCTTTTGAACGAGGTACACACAAAGCATCACGCGTACAACAACGAAAAGTGCCTCAATTTAGATTTACGTACAAATTAAAAACATTCATGTTATTTTATGAAAGTAAACAAAATATTACGCATCACTTTTTAAACTTGCAACAGCGAGAAAAGAAAGAGAAAAAGATATATATATTGTGGTGTATGCGCGTAAAGAGAGAGGGCACCACGTACTGGCGAGCGAGTGTGTGTAAGGAAAGCGAGGCGCTCGCGGAGACATGTAAGCCGGAAGTCGAGTGAGTGTAAGCCACGCGGCGAGGCTCAAAGAGAATATATATATCAGAGTGCATTGCATAACGAGTTGTGTATCAGTTCACCCTCTCGCATCCTAAGGCATCCTCGCACCCACGGCAAGACGGAGACATTGCAATTGGCGACGAGGACGATTGAGCGAGGGTTCCCGGGATCGAGAGCCGGGAGCGGCAGTACCCGCGACGAGCGAAAGGCGGCTAACAGCGGGCCAAACAGCACATGCAACGCCTTGTGATAGCAACCCAGGATATTTAGTACAACATACGAACAAATATATAATCTCGGGGTAGCGAATGAGCGACACAAAGCCAAAGAAAGGCGAGATTTCGTCACCGGCACGCAAACTAACAGTGAACGAGGCGCAGCACTTTCTAAAACCAGAGATAATCGCAGAGCTACGGAGGAGAGGCGTCGACGTCGACGATTCTCGAAGCAGAGACAGTCTACGAGAGCACCTCGTGAGACTAGTGAGGTTAGAGCTCGAGAGCGCGGGCAAAGAGGCCAGACCGGCATCCTCGAACACAATAGATAAAGCGATCCCAAGGAAAACCGCGGATCGAGGCACGAGCGGGCACGCGGTAGAGAGAGACAGCGAAAACGTCAACGACGACGGACAGATCGACGATAGTGGCGAGCACGCGAGCAGTGACGACGACATGGCGCTTGACGCGAAAATTTTCTTCAGGCTAGAATCGGACGACTGGGAATCATTCACGGAAAGGTTGGAGCTGTTTTTTTTCGCGAAAGACATTACAGAGGTGGAAAAAAAGCAAGCACATTTACTGACGCACATCGATGAAGACACGTATAAGCTGTTCAAAACCCTGACTGCGCCAGACAAACCAGCGGCAAAAACATACGACGACCTGGTTAAGCTGCTAGCGGGACACCTCAAACCACCGCCGTCCGAAGTCATGGAGCGTTGCAATTTCAATCGCGCGAAACAAGAGCCAAATGAGACAGTCGCGGAGTTTGCGACACGACTGAGGCTACTGGCACTCAACTGCAATTTTGCGAATAACCTGAGCAACGCATTGCGAGATCAATTCGTGTGTGGGATCCACGAGGAGTCAACACGGATCGAATTATTCAAACGTGCGAACTTAACGTTTGAAGATGCGTGCAAAGAGGCCACGGCGAGAGAGAGCGCGATGAAAAACGCAACAGGAGCATTACAATCGCTGTCAAACAAAAATTTCAAACACAAAAGTTTTGCCATGGACCAACAAAAAAACCGCAAGCCCCGGTACAAGCAACAAAACAAGCGCGCAAGCGGGCCAGCAAGCGATCAAGTGCAAGCACAACAAGCAAGCATGCAACGCACGGGCAGATCAACGTGTTACTGCTGTGGAGAAAATGGGCATGAGACAAAATCATGCAAGTATCGAGACAAGAGTTGCAATTTCTGCCACAACAAGGGTCACCTGAAACGGGTCTGCATAAAAAAGAAGAAGCTGTCAAACAAATATTTGCAGGAAGAGCACAGCGACACGAAGGACGAGAGCAACAGTGAAGGCAGCCAAGAAAGCAGCACATCCAGAAACAACAACTACCTCGATTTTTTCAACATGGTCTTCAAGATGAATGTACACCACAGCGACGCAACCAGGGCGGACCCAATGTTTCTCGATGTAAAGATTAACGGTCAATTAATCAAAATGGAATTTGACTTAGGTACATACTTTAGCGTAATGTCTGAAGGTTTTGTCAAACGTAAATTTAAAAATATTAACATTGAAAAATTAGGGATAAATCTCCTCACGTATGAAGACAATGGAGCCACTGGGCCAGTTAAAAAACCTTAAGGTCAATTTTAATAACGTCACTAAAATTTTACATTGCATAGTATTGAAAGGAAACAAAGTCCCATTAATAGGAAGACAATGGCTCTCAGCGTTTGGGCTGTGGCCATTAAAGTCACTCAGCAGTTCAGACATTGCGTTAAATAACAAACAGGCGATACATAAGTTGCAGACGAACGACGTACGCGACAAACTATTAACTGAATTCGAAGTATTATTCAGCAATACGCCAGGCGTATACAACAAGCGTAGCGTTCAAATCCATGTAAATCCAAACACCAAACCAGTCGCGCTCGGAGCAAGGCATGTACCGTACGCGTTAAAGCCAAAAATCGAGCAGGAACTGGAACGGTTAGTCAAGTTAGGCCATCTGGAAAAGGTAGAGTCGAGCGAATGGGCAACCCCCATTGTAGCGGTACTAAAAAGTAACGATCAGGTGAGAATTTGTGGAGATTTTAAGGTTACATTGAACCCGCATCTGAAGGTAACTAAACGTCCTTTTCCGCGAATCGACGACATCTTTGCAGTAATGCGGAGCGGCTCAACATTTTCTCAGCTGGATCTCCCACACGCATACATGCAAGAACCAATTGACGTAGAGTCTCGGAAATATCTCACAATCGCGACGCATGCCGGCCTGTTTCGATACACAAAAATGATGGAAAGTACAGCCCTTGCTCCAGGCGAGTTTGTACAAATCATGGAGGAATGTTTACAGGGAATCCCTAATACTATCGCGTACATGGATAACATTTACGTAACGGGCAAAACGACTGAGGAACATTTTGAAAATTTGAGACTTGTTTGCCACAGGCTAACGGAGCGCGGATTAAGACTAAACAAAGATAAATGCGATTTCTTGAAAAAGCGCATAGATATTCTGGGATTTGTGATAGACAAAGACGGCCTGCACAAATCCAAAACGAAGGTTAAAGCGATGTACGAAGCGCCGCGGCCGGAAAACACTAAACAGCTGGTCTCATTCCTTGGGCTAATCAACTTCTACGCGAGATTTTTAAAAAACAGATCAGATAAGTTACGACCGCTTTTTGATTGCGCAAACAAAGAAGTTTTCGAATGGACCAAGGAATGCGAGAAGGCTTTTTGGTGGGTTAAAAACGAGATGATTTCCCCGCGAGTTCTAGCGCACTATAATCCAGACGAGCAACTGATACTAGCGTGCGACGCGTCCCACTACGGGCTCTCAGCGATTCTGTCACACAAATACAAAGATGGCACGGAACGGCCAATCACTTTCGCGTCGAAACGTATTCCAGAAAAAGAGCTGAACAGGGCAATAAACGACAAGGAGGCATGTGCCATTGTTTTCGGATTCGTTAAATTCTACGATTTTGTTTACGGTCGCAAAATAACTCTGCGCACCGATCATAAACCGCTTGAAACTATTTTCGGCACAAAGAAAGGCATACCACTAACGGCGGCAACTAGATTACAACGCTGGGCAATTTTCGTGTCAGGGTTCGAGTATGACATCGAATGGATTAAATCAGAACAAAATGGGAATTGTGACGCGCTATCGCGGTTACCTATCGAGAACAAGACGGACATATTTGAATCAGACGTTACACAACTTCATTTCATTACCGAGGGCGCGAAAGTAATAGACTACGGGACTGTTGTCCACGAGACAAAACGGGATTGGGTCTTATCACGAATAACAAGGTTCTGCGTTTTCGGTTGGCTCACGAACAATAAAGAGCTCCCCGGGGAAGAGAAACAGTTTTTCACGAAGCGTTATGAATTATCGGTTGAAAATAATTGTTTATTCTGGGGATATCGAATAGTTATACCGGATAAGTTACGAGGTCGAATTCTAGATGACCTACATTTGTCGCATCTAGGAACGGTCAAAATGAAAGCGTTAGCGCGGTCTTACGTGTGGTGGCCCGGCATTGACACTGTGACGTCCTGGGTGATGCGAGGTGGCTTCGATCCGACAGAACGTCTCCGTTGATGGGTTCTTTCTCTTGCAGTTAAGGAGGTAAAACCCCAGGATAATTAGCTGTTGGTCGGCGATGTAGATTATGGCTCCTTGGATCCGTCGAAGGTAGGTAATTCAATAATCTCCAATAAT